GGTGTGGGGTACCTGGAACCACTGGACCGATTCCTCTGCAAGCCTGGTCAGATCCCAAGCCAAGCCCCATGCTGCATGGGGTTCATGAATGGTCGAACAGGGTCGCAGCCCCATCACCACAGCGGGAGATGGTGCCAGGCTGCACACACAGGCATTTCACCCCGCAGCACTGAGGATGGCCTTGTCCTCACAGCCTAGGCTGCTGCTGGAGTACCTTGACACCTGGCCACCCCTGGCTGCATAGGAGTCTTGGAAATGTACTGCCAAAGTCAGACAGCTGTGTGCAAGCTAGAAAGCAGGGCGTTGTCACTCAAGCAGAGGGGAGAATGGCTGCTGAGGGACCACTGGCATCTGTGCAATGAAGGTGAATCAGAGACACATGGCTGCTGGCAGCAGCACTTTTATCTTTTCAGGGCCTTAATTTTTATAGAGCCTTAAATTGTGTTAAATCCCCACCCCTGAAAAGGGTATGAAAGTCAGGATTTCTGAACCCAAGCAAAACAATACAAAGTTGGGTTTGAGGAGAAAGATGGAAAGAGTCCAACCAGCTGGCCACAGTGGCTCACACCTGTAAACCCAGTACTTTGGAAGGCTGAAACAGTTGAACAGCTTGAGCCCAGGAGTTTGAGACTAGCCTGGGCAACACAGTGAAACCCCATCTCTACAAAGAAGGAAAAATAGAAAAAGAAATTAGATGTGGTGGAACATGCCTGTAGTCATAACTACTTGGGAGGCTGAGGTGAAAGGATCACCTGAGCCCAGGGAGGTCAAGGCTGCAATGAGCCATGATTGTGTAACTGCACTCCAGCCAGGGTGACAGAGTGAAACCCTGCCTCAAAAAAAAAAAAAAAAAAAAAAAAAAAAAAAAAAAAAAAAATGTCTAGTCACTGTGAGTGCAGAAAGCCTCTAGCTAGACTGAGAAGTACACATGGAAAAAGCCTCAGCCTGGCCAGGTGCAGTGGCTCATGCCTGTAATCCCAGCACTTTGGGAGGCCTTCGCGGTTGGATCACCTGAGGTCAGGAGTTTGAGACCAGCCTGACCAACATGGAGAAACCCCGTCTCTATTAAAAATACAAAATTAGCCAGGCATGGTGGCTCGTGCCTGTAATCTCAGCCACTTGGGAGGCTGAGGCAGGAGAATCGCTTGAACCCAGGAAGTGGAGGTTTCAGTGAGCCGAAATCACACCATTGCACTCCAGCCTGGGTAAGAAGAGCACAACTCCATCTCAAAAAAGCCTCACTTTTCTAAGCTGAAATGCTGTCATGTGCTCAGTGGAAACCTCACAGCCAGAAGACTTGCCAATCAAATTATTTTCTTTTTACCTGTGGAGAAGGAGATTAACTTCACATCCATGTGAGTCCAATGTACAACCCCCAAGTGTGCTCTAGGAAGCTTCAGGAAGTGCCCAGCTGGCTCAAAATAGAAATCCAGAAGCCTGCTGGGCACGTGCAGCCTTTTAAGCCACTGCTCAGACAAGCAGGTCCCAACTGTGGGAGGCTAGAATGTTCTTAAAAGAGCAGTGAAAAGAGCCCAGGAGTTGGAGCTAGGTGGCCGCTCCTTCTGCCTCTCTGAGCCTCGGTTTCCCCATCTGTGGGGGACCTCAGGCTGTGGTAGTGGTAAAGTCCTGCTGCAGCTTTGGTGGGCTTCCACAGACTGGAACACATGACAGCATTTTTAACAAAATGCCATTAAAAAATTATTTTGGCTTATATAAGTAATCCATGTGCCCTGTAGAAAATTTGGAGAATAAAGTATAAAGAAGGAAATCACCTGTTACCCCACCACCCACAGTGACTACTGTTCTTTGGGGTTTTTCCATACATACTCTGTGTGGGATCTCGGAGCACAAGCTGTTTTATAACCTGCTTCTGCACTCGAGCTGTTCTCAGCATGTCACCACCTCGATAGGTTCCTCACACTGTTGTCCCCGTCTGCACAGGACCCCAGAGGAGGGGTGGGGCTACAGCCGCCTCGTCAGTGCCAGCGAATCTCCCTATGGTTTCCCTGTTTCCAGTAATTGTATCTGTCATTTCTGTAGGGCAACGGGACTCGAAAGAAGCGGGCTGTTCTGCCCCCCAAGGGGCATTTGTCAGCGTCTAGACATTTTTGATTGTCACAGTTGGGGAAGTGAGGTCTACTGCATGCAGCAGGTGGACACCAGGGCTGCTGCTGGATGGCCGCCACCAGAGTTGTCTGGCCTAAGTGTCTGGAGCGCTGCTGTGGAAACCCGCCGTAGACTCATTCCCTAGCTGGGAAGTCCGAGTAACAGGAGGAAAGCTGAGGTAGGGCTTGGTGTAGCTGGACTGTCCTGCAGGGAGATGTTTCCAACGCCCAGGACGTCTTCCAGCCTCCCTGCCACCCCCAGATACTGTCCTCTGCTTTCACAGTGCTTTCAAGGAGAATTAAACTTGCCTATTCAAGTCTCCAGATTTGGAGGAAGAGGAAGGCTGTCTAGACTGTGGTTGGAGGTTCCGTGGAACTAGTGGCCCCAGCAGGCAGAACCGCCACTCACCTACTGAGGGGAGTGTATATTAAGCCCTGCCTGGTTCCCCAAAAGAATTAATGCAGCAAGGTAAAATACGGGAGGCACAGGGAAGAGAGTGGGCTCGGGAGAGTTGGGGGTCCAGGCCCTGTGGGCGCCACAGGCCAGCTAAGGCACCACCTACCTTCAGAGTTTACTGCTTCAGAAAGAAGTTGTCCTGAGCCAGGCCCAGTCCTCAGCCTTCCGGGGCAGTATGTTAGGCCTGCACGGGGTGATTAGCAGTTCCATTTTGTTTGCCCACTGGTGGTACTAGGAGTGCCCCAGTCTAGAGTCTGCACGGAAAAAGGGGAACGTTGGAACACAAGTGACAGGCCTGTGCAGCCATGCCCTCAGCCCTGTGTTCACCTTGGAGTTGGGGCCACACCACCCCAGTGATGGTCGGGCTGGAGGGCTGGCTCTGCCCATGCCGTTGTGAGGGGGACTGAGCCAGCAGGAGGGCTTGCAGCTGGAGCAGCTGTTGAGCAAGAGGGAGGGCAGCACTGATAGGGTGCCCTGGGGGCAGAGCACAGGCAGGCCTAGAGACCCCTGCCTCACTGAGGGGTGCCATGTCCCTGGCCTGGCTCATGCCACATTCCAATGGTGCCACACACCAAGCTGCTCACAGGGAGCCTCAGCTGGTTGACACAGCAAGACAGGAGGGCTTCAGTGGCCAGGTCTCCACTGGGTCTATGTCCCTTCCTCACTGCCCTCAGCTTCCCCTTTCCGGAGGGGCTTACTTCCTGTGCTCACTTTGGGCTTCTCATCCCAGCCCTTCTCCCGAGACTCCAGACTGTACAGCCCCAGCGTGGACTGGCCCAGGCCTTCCTAGCTAAAGCCTAAGCCAGAAACTGGCCCCTTGTCAGCCAGGGAGGACCCAGTCCATGGCCCAAAAGATGGATGCAGAATGGCTGGGCGCGGTGGCTCAAGCCTGTAATCCCAGCACTTTGGGAGGCCGAGGCGGGTGGATCACGAGGTCGAGAGATCGAGACCATCCTGGTCAACATGGTGAAACCCCGTCTCTACTAAAAATACAAAAAATTAGCTGGGCATGGTGGCTCGTGCCTGTAATCCCAGCTACTCAGGAGGCTGAGGCAGGAGAATTGCCTGAACCCAGGAGGCGGAGGTTGCAGTGAGCCGAGATCGCGCCATTGCACTCCAGCCTGGGTAACAAGAGCGAAACTCCGCCTCAAAAAAAAAAAAAAAAAAAGATGGATGCAGAAGTGTCCCCAGCCTTCTGCATGAGAGGACCTGTCCCAGCCTACACTCCAAGTCAACCGTGCACTTAGGACCTCCCATTCGCCCAGCCCAGCTGCTCTCCTGCTAATGCCTCCTTGGAGCCTTCCCAGCCTGGAGTGCCCTCTAGACAGCCATTGTGGCAGATTCGAGGATGCACCCCACTGCTGCTCCTGAGCCCCAGTGTCTAGGTTGACAGGCCCCTCACATCCCAAGGAGGTGAGAGCCCAGTGATCCACACTTGTAGTGTGCAGGGATGCGGTGGGCATAGAGATACAGGATGAGGCCTGCCCCAGACCCTGATCCCCAGGGGTGGGGCAGAGGCGGCCCTGGCCAGCAGATGGCAGCACAGGCTGCAGCCTTGGAGCTTACGAGCTGGAAGATGGGAAGCAGGATTCCTAGTCCCTGGCAGGCTCACCCGCCCGCCTCCATTCCCTGAGCTGGCTGAGCCCCTCAGGGTGCCCAACCATGGTAAGAACTCTGAGCCAGAGGCTGGGCAGGGATGGCGGCAACTGTTAACTGTAGTAGGAGGGGATTACATCAGGGACCAGGGAGACCAAGCTCTACACAGCAGAACCCCCTTCTGCCCCAGGGTGCCTACCTTGTCGTCCTACCTTGAGACCAAGGGGCTGGACACCCAGAGGCCCCTGAAGAGGAGACTGGCAGTGAAGGGGGGACCAATGGCTCCCCAGGGCTGCTAGTGGGTCTTGAGGGCTAAGCCCAAGGGCCAGTGGGGCTGGGGAGCTCTTCAGCCTGAAGGCGGAGGCTGGGAGGGAAGGAGGCAGGGAGGAGAAGCTAGAGAGTATGTGTTGGGGAAGATAGGAGGGAGGCAGGGAGATGTCTAGATCTGATGATGTTGCTACCTGGAAGACTGGAGGAGGAACCCAGTTGCAGGAATGGAAGGCTCTTGTTTCTGGGCTCAACCCCCCTCACCCCCACTATCCCTGCCTACCCCCCAACACCCTGCGGGATGGGGGCCATGAGCCAAGGAATGGGGTGGTTTTTACAAGGCCTGAATGCCCTCAGATGCTCAGGCCTGGAGCTCCTCCCTCACTGCCCTCAATGTTCCTGGTAGACAGGAGGAAAGGGGCCCATGGACTAGGTGGGGCAGGCAGAACACAGTGGCAACCTGCTGGCTACTGTCCCATCTCACAGAAGGCGAGGCCCACAGCAGGCCCAGAACTCACTTCTGGGGCCTGGCTGCTGCCCCGTGGGAAAGGATAGGCACCACTCAGACGCGCGCAGGCAGGCCAAAACCCTAGTTTATTTCAGCATCAGCAGTATCTTAGCCATCAAAAAAATAAACTCTACCAAGGGTGATGAAGTCTCTACAGCAAGGCTAAGGGCTCGCCAGGCAGCGAACATCAGGGGTGCATGGTGGGCACTGCCCAGGCAATAAGTTAGGAAGCAGCAGGGCTGGTGTCGGGTGTGCACCGGGCTTCACTTCTGGGCAGGCATGAGGTCGTCGATGGCCTGGCCCTGTTCCAGCCGCTGCTCCATCTCGATGAGCAGCTTCACTCCATCCACCACCATCTGCACCAGCTCCACCTCCGAGAAGCCCAGGCGGTCAGCGTTGGAGACGTCGAAGACCCCACCTACCGCAGCTGTGTCCACACCGCCTGGGGAGACAGCAGGTCAGGGGGAGGAAACAGAGCTGCCCCAGGGCCAGCAGGAAGCCCACAGCACCTGTCCTGCTCACCTGTGCCTCGCTTCTGAAGTCGCAGCCGCTTAAGCACCTCGGAGAATTTCTCATGCTTGCCCAGGTGGGGCAGCTTAATATGCACACCTGCCCGCAGCCCCGTGCCCAAGTTGGATGGGCAGGTGAGGATGTAGCCCAGGTGAGGGTTCCACATGAACTCATAGTTCTTAGACTTGAAGAGAGTTTCAATCTGCAGAGAGAAGAGGGTGTGAGTGGGCAGGCCTGCCTGAGACCACCACAGGCCCCAAGTCTCGGAAATCCCCCAGGGGGACAGATGGGGTACCCACATCCCTGCCTGAGCCCTGGGATCTGGACCTGCCCCATCCCTGGCACCTGGGTGAGGCCGGTGCAGAAGCGGGTGAACACTTCCTTCATGTTGCCCCCCTTCTGCATGGAGATGACCCGAAGGTGGTCCTCCTCGTTGACCCACACCAGGAAGGTCTTATTGTCATTGTGCCTGCGGGAGGGCTGATCTCAGGGCATATCCAGAAAAAAGCCCCAGGCCCTCCAGACCACAGGAACTTCCCAAGTCCCCGAGGTGCTGCTCTCAGCCGTGCCCAGGAGTAGGGGCTGTTGCCAAGACTCCACAGCCAACACACGGCAGGCGGGGAACGGAAAGCCTCAGAGAGCAGAACCCCCGCTACCATCATGCGCTGTGGTCTGAAATGGAGCGGGGCCCGGGACCGCCTGGACAACCCTGCCCGCCCCACACAGTGGGGACAGGAGCCCTGCCCCTGGAGAAGCTTTGCGTCACCAGCCCCTGGTAGAATCCCAGCAGCGGAGGAAAGAGAAAGAGAAAACAAGGAGCTCCAGCTCCCGAGGGGCGTGGGGGACAGGCGCCAGCGAGCCCCGCCCCCGCCTCGCATGGAGGGAGGAGTCCCCACCGGCCCAGTCCCTTAACGCACCTGCGGCCAAGGTCACCTATGCGGAGGGCGGGGCGGCAACCAACCCAGACGGAGCGCGGCCCCTCCCTCCTCCTCGCTGTGAGCCAGCGGGGCGAGAGGGGAAAAGGGAGGCAGCACGGAGGGAGGACACCGCAGGAGGGCGCAAAGGGATACGTACCAGATGCCGCGGGCGTCCGGCCAGTCGCGGGCCATGCCCGAGGCCAGCAGCAGGGGCGACACCGGCTTGTCAAAGAGGAAGTGGTCGTCGATGAGCTGCTGCTGCTCCGCCTCCGTCATGCTCTTGAGCGCGTAGTATCGGCCAGCCAGGTCGCCGTCCAGGCTGGACAGGGCTGCGGGGGGCGCGCTCAGGACGCTCGGCTCCCGCGCCCGCCCCCCAACCCTCATCGCGAACCCGCCCGCCCCAGGGGACGTCGGAGGCCCCCACCCGCCCGGCTTTGCGCGCGTCCACTCCTCACGGGCCCGGCGACGGTCCCAGGCGGTGAACCCGCGCCAGGACGCGCCCTCCCTGGGCCCCAGGACGCTGTGGACGCGGGGCTGGGCCGCCGGCCCCTCGCTCCCTCCAAGAAACTAAACCCGGACGCGCGCAGAAGGGTGCGGCGGCGGCGACCGCTCCCGGGCGGCTGGTAAACAAGCGAGCGGGGACCGCGCCGGGACGGGGACGCGGCCGCCGCTGACCCTCGGCCCGCCCGGCCCCTACCTTCCACCGCGAGCTTCTCGATGGCGCGGCGCTCCCCGCGGCTGCAGTGCGGGGGGAGGCAGAAGCCGCGGATGCTGCGGCCAGTGCGCACCCGCGAGCTCAGCACGTAGTTGGGGTCCAGGTCGTCGCCGCCCTGGGGGCCAGACGGGAGTGAGCGATGGGAGACCCCGGAAACGCGGCTCGCCCCGCCCGCGCGCTCGCCGGCCGCTCCGCACCTGCAGGTTGTCGGGGTTGAGGTCGGTCTTGTGCTCATCGCTGGGCTTGTAGCCGCCATGCCGGTCCTCGATGATGGGGTCGAAGAGATCCTTGAACACTTCGTAGGACTCCTCGTCGCCCGCCACGCAGCCCACGGTCATGATGTATGGGTGGCCTGGGGGAGGGGGCGCGGGACGGGGACAGTGACGTCACTGCCGGGCCCGAGCGCGCTGCTGAGGACCCTGCGGCTGCGCGCGGGGAGGGGGCGCAGGGACCCCGGCCCCAGGGGGCGCATACCCGGGTTGTCCACGCCTGTCTGGATGACGTCGTCCAGCGTGAAGCCGCTCGGCGTGCTCTTGGCGCGCAGCTCCGCGTACAGCTCGGGGGTCAGCACCTTAGCCATGTGGTTGTTGTGGCTGCTCAGGTCGGGGAACTCGTCCTCGGCCGGGAAGCGCAGCTTCAGCGTGTTGTGGCTGTTGGAGAACGGCATGGCGGCTGCGAGCTGCGGGGAGACGCGGGGTCAGCGGGGACGGGCTTTCCGGGCTTCCCGGGCTCCCCCGAACCACTCAGGGCCCCAACGCCGGGCCCCCGGGTGCCCGACGCGGCCAAGGTTAGTGGGGTCCACAGCGCGCGCGGGGAGCGCCACCGTTGCCGGGAACCCCTGGCCGGTCCGGCGCGCGCTCCAGGCGGCGCGCCCCGAGCGCGTGACGCCGCAGCTCCCGCGCCCCCCTTTGCACGCAGCGCCCCTCGCCCCGGCAGGGACGCCCCCGGCCCTCGGGCCCACTCACCGGGCGTCCGTGCGGGGGCGGGGGCGGGGTCGCTCCGTCGGTCGGCAGCTCCGGGCGCGGCGCAGGCGAACAGCGGCAGCTACGCGCTCCCGCGGCTCTTAAGGGGCGCAACGCGAGCCGCCCATTGGCGGCTATTTATAGCCCATTCATTCCATTGGCCCGCGCCGCGGGGTGGTGCCGCCGCTTTGTCCGCCGCCCGCAGCCCCCAACACCCCCCGGCCGCCCACCCGAGCCGTCCCCTCGCCCGGACCCCGCGCAGCCTGCCCAGCGCCGGCCCAAGACCTCGAGGCCGAAACCTCAGGTCCTTAGCTATCTATATCCACTCGTGCGCCCTGCCTCCGAGCGGGAAACTGAGGCTGGAGAGCCTCCGGGCACTCGAGGACGCTTGGATTCGTCCGCATCCTCGCGCCTGCCCGCCTCGTCCAGACAGCCCCCGCGGCGGCGGCGGCGAGGGGCCGGGCGGAAGCGTTCAGGGCTTCCGCAGCAGGTGCTTGCCCGCACGCCACGCCCGGCCCGTTCGAGCTGGCCCGGAGCCGCCGACCTTCCTCAAGGTGCCCTCAGGCATCTCCTGGGCGATCCTGGTGCAAAGCGAAGGCACGCGGAAGGCGCAGTCTGGCTGTGGCCCAGCCCGGGGGCATCGCGGTGCCCTGACCTTGGACAAGTCCTGGGGCTCCGGGGGATGCGGGGCAGAAAGCACTGGGACACTGTGGCCTTAAGAGACCCCCGGCAAGTGCAGCCTCGGAGTTTCCAGACCCCAACCCTGGGTCCTCTTCGCTGGGGACAAGTTCACTCGACCCCCAAAGGCAGTCTCCAGAGACATCAGGCAAGGATGGGAGGAAATGCTAGTAAACAATAAACATAGGTACGATTTTTTAAAAACTCACCTCACGAATAACCAGAATCATGCAGGTTAAACAGTGACTCCACCTGTCTCTACCCTCAGCACTCCCAGATCGACCCCAGCCAGTGCTGGCTATGAGCTGGAATGCAGGGAGACAGGCGTCCACATGCTGCCTGCAACTTGAATTGCTGCATGCTTTTTGCAAGGTAATTTGGCAGAATCTATTAACATTAAAAATGTTTGGACTCTGTGACCCAGCAATCCCACTTCTAGGAATGCAGCCCTTAGGAGGGATGTCTCAGTTCTCTCCACTAATGGACCAGGAGATGTGTGAAGGGAAAACCAAATACCTCTGGATACCCACCGATGCCCATCAGGCGGGACTGGCCAAGGGTGGGGAGGCATCTGCCTGCTGTGGAGTATTATGCAGCTGTTAAGAGGGGGAAGCGGAGCATGTGGGGTTAATATCTATCAAGGACCCTCACATGTTGCTCTGAGACTAAAGCTAGGAATGGGAGAACCCTTATCTGTGGGTGTATTTGACAAAAACTCCTCCAGCAATGGCACAGTGAGCACCTGCCCAGTGCCAGCGGCTGGGGATACAGCAGGCAGCAAGGTGCGCAGTGCCTGCTGCTGGAGGAAGACTGGCCATGAGCCAGCAGCCCAGCAAACCAGATGACATTAGGAGGTCAGTTTTGCTGGGGTTGGGGGGGTCACAGGGCACAGCAGTTCCAGGCATAAGAGACCCTATTCTCCGAAGAGAAGGCACCAGAGCCAAGGTGCAAAGGCAGGGGAAGCCTGTCCACCTCGGCCTGTGTGAGCATCAGCATGGGGCCCTGCCTCATCCCTGTGGTCACTGAAGAGGAGACACATGCCTCTTTCCTGCTTGGCATGCTTTGTCCTGTTCCAAGTCAGCCTTTTTTAAACTAATAAAACCAACCCATGTAAAAAAACAAATGGCCCCTCTGGGCTGGCCAGACAGCAGGTGTCCCTTAAGCCTGGAATTCCTGCTCTCTGTGCCCCCGGCAGCCTCTTTCTCCAATTTTAGACATTTCTGCAGCTGCCCACCCCCACCCCACAAAGCCTGAAGGGCTTAAGTTTCTGTTTCAAGAAGGGATCGCTGCAGCCCCTGGAAGCTGACTTGGGGCAGGGAGGGACTTGAGAGGACACTCAGGACTTCCTCTGTCTTCAGCATCTGCAGCTTCTCAGGCCACCCCTCCCTTCTCTCACCCTCCTGGCCGAGAGCCTAACCTGCTTCCCCAGGCCCCCATGGGAAAGGACCCCCTTTCCCCTTCCCTCCACAGGCAAGGTCAGAACGCAGAGGTGAGGTCTGGAGAGCAGGACTGCCTATGGCAGTGAGCCAGGCACTGGGGTGGGTCTGGCCTGGGGCTGCTGGCAACCCTCAGCCTTCTGAGGTGGATGTTTTTGTCCCCGGCGTGCAGACAGAAGATCGTTTTATTTTTGTTTTTATTCTGTTGAGACAGGGGTCTCGCTGTGTTGCCCAGCTGGTCTCAGTGTGCAGACAGATCAGAAGTTGGTGACAGAAGTGTCCAGTCATAGGCCCAGCAATCCCTCCACCCTCGGAGAGTGCCAGCCCTGTGCCAGCTTCCTGGGGCCAACCGACAGGGCAGAGGCCAGGCAGCTGTGACGGGGCAGCAGCAGCAGGTGAGACCCAAGTGTCAGGGTGAGGCCCCGCAGGCAGGGGCTGATTGGGAGCCTTAGTGGCCCCCAGAGCAGGGGCACAAGGGGAGGGTCTGGAACGTGCTGGCCTCCCCCCAGCTCACCTGCCCCATCTGCAGACCCCTGCTTTCCCGAGGGCCCAAGGAGCTGAAGGCTGGTGCTGTTACCAGGCAGTGTTTGGCCCAGGCTCCTCAGAAATCACACCTGGTTACACATGAACCACTGGGCCTAGAGGGGGCTTCAAAGGAGGCCCAGGCCTTTTATTCGCAGAACATGACGCGGCTCGGGGGGCCATCCTTGGAGTCTGCTCCCAGAGCGCAGCAGAGGCAGCATTGCCTCCTCCAAGTGCCCTGCCCCTGAGTTCTGCAGAACCCGAAGAGGAAGTAGGCTGAGGTCAGGAGAGGGGCAGGGGCTGACGGGGTCACAGAGCACAGTGGGGCAGGAGACTGGGCTGGTCAGAGAGGGAGGGACCACAGTGACGTGGTCCCTGCCAGGGGCGTGGACAGAGCAGCCTCCCCCGTGGGCATCCTTCCTGCCTGTTCCCCCCTTTCTTCAGATCGGCCATTGGTTTTCTGAAGCCAGTTTACTGGCTTTAATTCTTTTTTTTTTTTTTTTTTTTTTTTTTTTTTTTGAGACGGAGTTTCGCTCTTGTTACCCAGGCTGGAGTGCAATGGCGCGATCTCGGCTCACCGCAACCTCCGCCTCCTGGGTTCAGGCAATTCTCCTGCCTCAGCCTCCTGAGTAGCTGGGATTATAGGCACGCGCCACCATGCCCAGCTAATTTTTTGTATTTTTAGTAGAGACGGGGTTTCACCATGTTGACCAGGTTGGTCTCGATCTCTCGACCTTGTGATCCACCCGCCTCGGCCTCCCAAAGTGCTGGGATTACAGGCTTGAGCCACCGTGCCCGGCCTTAATTCTTAATGAATTAAGAGACGGGGTCTTGCTATGTTGCCCAGGGGAAGCTCCAACTCCTGGCCTCCAGCAGTCCTCCCTTCTCAGCCTCCTCAGTGCTGAGTTTACTGACTTCAAATCCTAATCCCACTTTGACCTCACTGGCTGTGACCTTAGGCAAGTTACTTAACCTCTCTGAGTTTCTGTTTCTCCATCTATAAACTATTCCCTCCCTCATAGGATCCAGGGGAGAATTCAGTGAGATAACACAGCTGGGCATATGTAGCATCAGCCCCTTGTGGGGAGCCCCAGTACAAACTGTGCAGGGAATCATCAGCTGAGGTAGGGTCGTTAGTTCTGCTTGAGGACTCAGGCTGGGGACTGGGGCAGGCTCAGATGGAGCATATGGGCAGGGCTGAGAAGGCTGCCTGGAGGAGGGGGCACTGGAGGAGTTGGCCAGCCAGTAATGGTCAGAGAAGCAAATGGGAAGTTGGAACCAAGGGAAACCACCGCCGAGTCACCAAATCCTAACTCAGGCCCATACAGGCAGCCGACTTAACTCTACACCACAGCTGAGAGGCTGGGGAAGAGAAGCCCAAGAGAAATGGAAAGTCAGAATCCCCCAAGGGACCAATTAGGGGGTAACTCAGGCGGGTGCATCATCAAGGGAGAGAAGCATCTGCTGGAACAGAGGTTGGGGAGCCATGGATGGGACTGGGTTGTCTCGACATTGAGAGCAGAAGGCAGGGAGGCCATGAGGCAGATGTAGAGGCAGCTGGTGGCCAGCATGGTGGCCCCACAGGGACAGGAGCCCACAGAGAGTGGGAGGCTATGGAAGGCCTCTCACCATCTTATTCCTGGGGGCTCTCAGCTCCAGGCCCAGCTAGGGCAGGGACAGAGAGGGGCTGAGGTTGGACCCCTGGGTTTCTACGATGGACCCCGAGAAGCCCATGGCAAGGGCCACAGACGCCCTGGCCTGGCCTGCCCCAGAGGCAAGAGCATTGAGAGTGCCCACAGGCTGCCAAGGTCCCAGAGCAGAGCTGGCTCTGAAGGAGCATGGCCACCTAATTTTACCAGGCTGCAGCGGCAGAGTGCCTGGGGAGGGTGGCCTAAGGTCATTGCTAACTGGCTTGGGTTCGGGTGCAGGCTAACCCCTAGGCTGGGTGGGTGGGGAGGGGGTCTCTGTTCCTCTCCAAGACCTGGCCCTGAGAGCTAGGGGCTGGAGGAAGAAAATGCCCGTCCCCTGCCCCCACTCTCCTGCACACACTCCACAGAGGAGCCAGCTGAGAAGAGCGCTGTGGAGACAGAACAGCACTCCCGCTTCTCCCTTCTGCCTCTCCTCCAGCAGCTCCTCCTCCGTCTCCTGCTTGGCACCTCACCAGACCCAAGAAGGGGACGCGGGACCCCCTCTCCCTCCTAGAAGCAGCTCTGCACTCAGAACGTGTCCCCTCCGGCGGAGGCAGGGCCTGGGCCGAAGGCCACTTCTGCAGACTCTTCCAGGCCCCTGTCTCTGCACCTCTGGCTGACCCTAGCCCAAGCCTTCTGGGATGGCCCCTTGACCTGCGATTTCTTTTCTGGAACTCATCTTGGGGCCCAGTCAGGGGTGTTCCCAGAGCAGTGTGCAATGACAAAATGTCTGTGGCAAAGTGTCCTCGTAGAGGACCACGGGCCAGCCCTCTGGTGAACTCCCAGGGCCTGTCAAAGGGGTCCTGGACAGCAGTGACAGCCACGCCTTGGCTCCTGAACCCCTTCAAATGTGGTTGGGTATGACGGCCACCCGCGGCCGGCGGGACAGGGCGCCCTTTTGTCTGTTTGTAACTATTTGTACAGATGGTGGGGTGGGGGGGGGGTCTCACTACGTTTCCCGGGCTGGTCTCGAACTCCTGACCTCAGGAGAACCTCCTGCCTCATACTCCCGAAACGCGGGCTCACAGGTGACAGTCACCGCGCTGCCCGCCCGCCCGCCTTCTGGATTTTGTCCCGTCTTCCGATCTTCCAGCAACCAGCAACTGTAAACAGAGCAGCTCACATAAAGTCAGAAGTCGCCCAGGAAACGTCCTCTGGGAGGGACGGGAAGGGCAGCCTGGTGCTCCCAGGATCCCGTGCGCTGAGGGGGCGGGGCGGGGCGCAACGTCATCAGTGGGCGCGGAGCCTGAAGTGTCGTGGCCGCCGCCGCGTGTCGCGGAGGCATGTGTGGAGCCCTGGCGGAGGGAGAGTCGCGGGTGAGACTCTGCGGGGCCCAGGATGGCAGGGCGAGGGTAAGGGTGGTCCGGGCCGGCGCGGCACGCAGGGCCTGTTTCTCCAGCCTCGCACGGGCGGCCCGCGCCGCCCCGGCCTGCCCCCTCGCTGCTTCTGCACCGGCTGGGCGGTGTTTGCGTTGACGGCCCTTCCTGGGGAGCCCTTACCTCTCTGGCATACCCTGTTCCCCGCCCACTCAGGAGCCTGTTGTGGGGGAGATTGGGGCGAGGAATCAAGCCTGGCTTGGAGGTGATCTCATTGACCATTTGCCTCTCCCCAGCCGGTGGACACCTCGCAAAAGCGCTTTCTCATTTCACACCTCGGGAATAGGAGTGAAGCTCCTGGAGAAGGGTGATGGGAGGGTCGGGTCCTCACTCTGGGAATCCTTGGGACCAACCTCCGCCATTGCCAAGCCCCAGTCTTTTAATTTATGATTTAGGCGCACAGTCCCTATCTCTTGTCCTAGACCAAGAAAGGCTGCGCAGGCCAGACCAGGGCGCAGCGCTGTTGGGCTCCCTGTCAGGCAGTGACAGAGGCTGAACCAGCCACACCCCGCCCATATCCGCTGCTGGAATCTCAGCCTTCTACCTAGACGCCAGACCCTACTCCTGCCTCCTGACTTGCTCGTACCTACACACACCCCTCTCCAGGTCCTTGGCACTTGCTAGATATTAACACCATGAGCTTCGTGGCATACGAGGAGCTGATCAAGGAGGGTGACACAGCCATCCTGTCACTGGGCCACGGTGCAATGGTGGCAGTGCGTGTGCAGCGTGGGGCACAGACCCAGACCCGGCATGGTGTCCTGCGGCACTCAGTTGACCTTATCGGCCGCCCCTTCGGCTCCAAGGTGACGTGTGGCCGAGGTGGCTGGGTGTACGTGCTGCACCCTACGCCTGAGCTCTGGACTCTGAACCTGCCGCACCGTACGCAGATCCTCTACTCCACGGACATTGCCCTCATCACCATGATGCTGGAACTTCGGCCCGGCTCTGTGGTCTGTGAGTCTGGTGAGTTCCTCAGGCTGCCTCAGTTTAACTCAGAAATTGACACAAAGGTGGAGGTCAGAGCCTCCAGCCTGCCCTTCCTACAGACAGACGTGGCTCCTCAGCTTCTGTTTTCACATCTTTCTGGGATGCTGACAGCAGGCAGTGAAGGTGGAGGCAGGGAAGCCCCTTCGGAGGCAGGTGCTGTCACTGGAGTGAGAGGTGGTGGGAAATAGACTGGGGAGCTAGGGAGGACGTGGTGCCCTTGTGAGGGTCCTGCTTGCCTTGGTGGGGCCTGGCCAGCGAGATGCTTGGCGCTGTCCTGGGTGCTGACTGTCATTCTCTCATCCTCTGTGCTGATGGTGAAGCAGAGAGAGTTGCTCCTTCTGGAGAGAGGCCAGGGCTACCCTGGGGAGCTGTTGCAGGTTGGGAGCCTTCCCCATCCTTATCCATGATTAGATCTTCACCTGCCACCAATGAACGTGAGCACCATCTGAGTCCAGGACCTGGGCTGTGGAAACCCCTGCACACATACAGGTGCTGGGGCCGCCTGGTGTGACGACTGAAGCCAAGATTGGCCCCAGGCCCAGATGCATCTAGGTTGTTGGTGGCATTTTTCTCATGGGCAAGAGGGCTAGGGTCCAGGTTCACAAAGAGTGCCTAGCACTGTCATGCTGGCTTTCTGAGGGCTGCAGTCACCCTGTCTCTCCCTGGGATGTCTGGGTGGAGAGCAAGACTCAGAGCCAGCACCATCAGCTCCCTGTGCATCCTGTGGCAGGGTGCTGGCCTCTCCTCCCCTGCCCCACCCTCGAGAGAGAGCGCAATCAAGCAGCACGCTCCTCCTGTGGCCTCCTCAGATATGCCAGATCCCCTCCTAGGCACAGAGAACAAGATAGATCAGGTTCCTGCCCTCGAGGAGAGAGGGGGACACAGCCTGGGTGTGTCCATTGAGGTTATGAAGCTTGTGAGACAGGGCTGTGTGTCTGAGCAGGACCCAGAGTGGGGTCTCTCCAGCTAGGCCAGGCAGGGAAGACCTCTCTGAGGAGGGGACATTTGAGTTGAACATGATGAGAGGGACCCACGAGGAGCCAAGGGACAGCTCTGCACCAGGGAGGAGCTGTGCAGAATCCCTGCAGTTGAAGCGTGCACCCAAGTCAGGCTCAGTGGGGGAGACGGAGGGGCTGGGAGTGAGGCTGAAGGGGAACCGGGCTGTACTCCGGAGGCCACCTCGACCTGGGAAGCAGTCAGACTCACCCCTGGGAAGGGGGCACGGCCAGGCTCTGCGGAGGGCAGAGGCAGCAGGCTGGGAGCACCTAGGGGAGGGGCTGGACAGGTGGGGCGAGGGGCCAGCCCCTGGAGAGAATGTGGGAGGCGGCAGGAGGTGGGACAGGATAGAGGGAGTGGGTGGAGGCCTCTCCAAGGGTCTGGCTGAGCACTGCGATGCTCAGCACTGTTACGGTTTGAGGGGTGGGTGGAAGGTGTGCAGTGGATGCTCTAGCAGGAGTCTTTGTGGAGGGGCCGGGGGATGGGAGTGCCATCAGGTAAATGGCCCCTAAGCTGGAGAGGGAGGAGGGACGCAGGGCCTGGCCCGTTGCCACAGGACGGGGAGTCAAGCAGGGGGATGGTCTGGGGGGAAGCTGGGGGCAGGCGTGCTGGGAGGGACCAGGGCTGTGGGGCTGGTGGCCGGGCCCTGCATCCTGAGTCCAACCAGGCCAGAGCAGAGCCCAAGCCCCTGTGTGGTGGGGGCAGGTTTGGGCTGGCTTGGTGGGAGTGAGTTGACTCAAAGGGGACCAAGGAGCTTCTGGGGAGAGGTGGGCACGAGGTCCGGCAGGGTAGGCCACTAGTGACGGGGATTGAGGAGGGGATTGGCCGTGCATGGGAGGAGACAGGGCTGAACCATGGGATGGGTCTCTGTTCCTTCTGCAGACTCCCCGGGAGGCTCCAGCCAGCGGGCTCTCTCAGCTCCTGTACCTGCGCCAGGCAGGATGGAGCAGGGCTGCCGCTGGCCTGCCTGTGCCCACAGCAAACACCACAGCCTACAAAGCCTGTCAACCCCAGCTCACGCCCTAGACAGTGTGCCCAATGCAGGGCTGGCCAGGGCTCTAGGCAGCCGGGACTACACAGCCCCCACCAGTCGCCTGGGGTCCTCCTGAGCCCTGTGCGGGTCTCTAGGGTGAGCTCGGGGTTGTTTCCTAGAAGTCTGTGGGCCCCGAGCAGTCCCACCTGATGCCTTGCCCATCCCATCTTGTCCCGACAGGCACGGGCAGTGGCTCTGTGTCCCACGCCATCATCCGCACCATTGCACCCACGGGCCACTTGCATACGGTGGAGTTCCACCAGCAGCGGGCAGAGAAGGCACGGGAGGAGTTCCAGGAGCACCGCGTGGGCCGCTGGGTGACTGTGCGCACACAGGACGTGTGCCGCAGCGGCTTTGGCGTGAGCCATGTGGCTGATGCCGTCTTCCTGGACATCCCATCACCCTGGGAGGCCGTGGGGCACGCGTGGGATGCCCTCAAGGTGGAAGGTACCTCAGGGGTTCCGGGAAAGGCACAGCCTGGGGCAGGGCGTCAAGGGTGAGGGCTGAGCTCCTGGGAGCTCCTTGGTCTAGAAACCAAGACACACCAAGGCGGTGGCCAGGCCAGGGCCCCATTTTGGCTTGAGGTGAGGAGTGGCTCGGGCTGGCCAGCGCAGGCTGAGCTGAGGAGGATGGGCCCCAGCTGGGCCCTGCTCATGGTCTCTGGCCTCTCCCAACCCCCCAGTGGGAGAAGGCAGCAGCGCCCCCTAAGTGCAGGGCAGGCCCAGCTGGAGGTGTCTGGAACCCCTGCCCCTGCGGTTTTCCAACGATTCTCCTACCCCAAGCTGTGGAGCCCAGGGAGCTGGCCCCTTATAGGGAAGATGCTGGGTGCGGAGGCGGGGCAGCCCTGGGGAAGGTCGGGCCCCAAGCCAAGGAGGCGGCTGGGAGGCCCAGGTTTTTCCCTTTTCTGGAGAAGGAACGGCTCAGGCAGCAGGGCCCCCTTCCTTTATCCCAGCTGAGAGTTGAATTGTGAGAGGGTGGAGGGTGGGGGCGGGGCACCACACCCCACCTCAGATGAGCCGAGGCCGGTTGCAGACAGCAAGGCTGTGGCCGAGGGTCCCCTGCTGGCTCTGGCTCAGCCCTGACTCCTGGGTCCTGGTCTCTGCTGAGGAGCCTGAGGGTGGCCGTGGGGATCTCCACACCTGCCTCCTCCCCTCCACCTTTGCCCCTGCACCCTTGCAGACTCCCGGGCTCTGGGACACTTCTGAGCCTGGGCGCAGTCCTGGGGAGGCTGAACGCAGGAGAACCCACTCTGGGACCCCTTCCTGCTCTGACTCCTTCTTCAGAAGTGGCCCCGGGAACCCACACCTGCCTCTGGGACTGTTCCTTTCCCTACGACCTCCCTCGTCGGGGCCTTTCCTGTACTGCCCCTTCCGAGTCCACAGGCTCCTGACTCGTTCGGGGGGCCTGCAGGGAGGGTGCAGCATGCAGCATCACATCAGCAGGACCTGGTGCCTCTCTAGGCTGCTGTCACGCAGAAGGAGCCTCCTCTAACCCTGGACCTCCTGGCAGCCCCGTGTCAGGGCACAGCTGAGGGGACCAGGCCTCAGGGACATTTGAGGACACTTGCATGGGCCACGTACCTCCACCTGGCCCTGGCTTCCCCAGGTCCTCCCTGCCAGGTCAGGGCCCGGGGCTGCGCTCTCATTCACTCCGGGCCAGGCTGAGTGAAGCCCGTGGCTGCCCTGGTGGGAGGAGAGAGGGAGGGAGGGGCTGCCACACTCGGGCTCCGCTTTGAGTAGGCGCCTCCTGTTCCCGGGAGCAGCGACAGCCTCTAATTTCCTGTGACAGCAGCGGCCCCCGCCTGCTGGAGCCCCAGCCCCCGCCCCACCCCACACTGCACTGCGGTGTTGTCATTGCTGCTCCAGGCCCAGCGTCCTGCGGCCCCATGGAAGGCAGGAGGGCGGTGCCCGTGGAGGGCCAAGTGAGACGGTGGCAGCACGGGCTTGACCTGGTGCCTGGAACATGGGAGGACCTGGCACAGCCAAGCCGGGTGACAGGAACCATGGTGCCAGGCCCCTCTGCCCTGCAGTCCCCACTCTCTGGAGGACTGGTAGTCTGTGTTGGCCAAGGGTGTGAGTCTGGGGATGCCAGGGCTAGACGCCCTGCTCTGCCACCCCCACCCTCTGAGCCCAGGTCCTGCTTCTCACAGGCGGGCGCTTCTGCTCCTTCTCGCCGTGCATCGAGCAGGTACAGCGCACATGCCAGGCGCTGGCGGCGCGTGGTTTCTCGGAGTTGAGCACCCTGGAGGTGCTGCCGCAGGTCTACAACGTGCGCACCGTCAGCCTGCCACTGCCCGACCTGGGCTCAGGCACGGATGGCCCTGCCAGCCCCGACACCAGCCCCTTCCGCAGCGGCACGCCCATGAAAGAGGCCGTGGGCCACACCGGCTACCTGACCTTCGCCACCAAGACCCCAGGCTAGGGGGCTGCCACCCTGGGCACCAGGGAGCTGGGAGCATGGAAGGGCTGGGCAGGGAGGCCAGAGGCACCTTATATGGTCGGTGCCTGTCAGACACAGATGGTGGGGCGGGGTTTCAGGGCCTTCTGGGTGGCTAGAGTTCAGGGGCAGGAGGACGGCTGCGATGGAGGAGCAGAGCTGGGGCTGGGCCTCGGCCTTTCTTGTCTAGCCCCGCGGCCTGTCCCAGCTGCTGTTTGTTGCCAACATGAAGTCTCCACTGCCACAGGCTCTCCTGGGTGTTGAGGCTAGAGGGTGGTTGGGGGGAGTCGGACCCTCTCTCCAGGTGGGCCTAAGCAGGAAGGGGGTGGAGGAGGAGGATTGTCCCTGAGGCCATGCTGCATCTGGCCGTCGGGCTCCCACAGCCCGGGCTGCCCCGCAGGGCCTGAGACCACCTCGTGCTCTGCCAGTCCCTGGGCCAAGGCTCCAGCCTTCGCCGGCAGCCAAGGTGAGCTGACCCAGGATCCCTACCCGGCTCTCCCCAGCACTAGGAGACCAGGCCAGCCCAGGAACCAGGGAGGTGACCCTGCTCTCTGACCTCCAGGCTGATGTCACAGCACTGGGCTCAGCCCAGCCCTCCGTCCACTCATGTCCAAGACGCAGGGGCAGCCCCCATCCAGCCAGAGTCCCTTGACAGGCTGCACTTGGTGAGGCCGCGCGGCGCTGCGGAGAGGAGCAGCACAGCGGGTTGTTTGCCACGGGTGACTGGGCAAGTCTGTGTTGGGACCAGGGTGTGAATGCCAGCCTGTGAACTCTGCAGGGACCCCTGCCCCTCACTGAAGCCAGGGGCGTGCAGGAGGTCCCGCGACGGGGATCATGGTGTGGGTGGGGGAGGCGCATCCAGGACACCTCTCAGGGACGGTGGCTGTGTGATCTCCTCTTAAAGCCTGAGGGGGCCTTTCCCAAAGCAGAACAGAGGGTGGGACGCCCGGGCTGGGGCTCTCTGCCCATGCCCTGGTGTGTGATGGCCTCAAGGGAGGACCAGTGCGTGTATCAGCCATGGGACCCTGGAGCTGCCTCTGGTGCGCAGGGGGCCTGGGTTTCTACCCAGGAACCAGTCGCTGTTGAGAGCCTCAGTTTCCCCGGTGTTGGCCCCAAGTGTGCGTGATGAACAATAAATGTGCCGCCCCCTCTGTGCTGCGTGGTCCCTGGTGGCCAAGGCCACCCCAGCTGCCCTCCAGGCCAGCCCTGCCTGCGCTCTGCCCTGGCCCCTGCTCCTCCCTGTCCTGGTTTGGCATGTCGGGCACTCCAGACTCCAGGACAAAGGGGCAAATGTGTGGCCACCCCCATCTGGCTGCAGAAAAGGCCACTTGTCCCTGGGGTTGGGGTGGTCCAAGAGTGCTGGGCCTTCCTCCACAGCCCCAGGCTAAAATTGAGTGTGGCTGCCTGGGTTTCTCACATGCAGCCCTGAAGAGCCTATCCCAGGCCACCTGGTCCCTGTGAAATGTCACACTGTAGGGCCCGTGGCTGTGACTGATGTGGTCTGGGAGGTCTGTGTCCCTGAGAGTGGCTCCGCCCAGCCCTGGGGGTTTGTCCCCTCCTTCCAGGACCCAGCCTCCCCTGTACCTCATTCCTCACCTGGGGCGCAAAGGAGGGGCCCCTGGCGGGTTCACCATGGAAGTGGGTGACCCTAATACCAGGAGCTTTGGGGTCAGGGCTGTGACTGGGGTGTCATGAACTGGGTGATGCACACCCCTGAGATCCTAATTCCAAGCCTGCCCTGCCCTTCCTGGCCGCAGCAAAGGCCTTCGTGGGATCTGATGGGTGAACACCAGGAAGCTTTTCTTTGAGGCACAGCTCTGAGGGTCACAGGACATGCAGGCCTCAGGCATAGTAGGGTCCAGGTTGTGCCCATTTTCCAGCCCCAGCTGGTAACCCAGATGGCGGCCCTGGGTGAGTCACTAGGATCTGCACATGGAGAGCGGGAAGGCACAGCCCACCCCACCCTCAGTTGTCACGTGGGACAGTCGATGTCTCAGTCCAGACTCCTCTCAGCCCCTCTGCCCTGCACATAGGCCCCATGATGACCCTGAGCCTCCAGGCATCCACCCCACCGTATAGCCCTCTAGAGCCAGCTGGGCCCCATCCCGCTCCCTCAGCTTGGAACCTCACCTGGCCTTGAGCCAGCATTGAACTCCTCTGTGTCTTTCAAGACCCTACTCAAATGTCCCTTTCTCAGCATGCTTCCCCAGACCATCTCACGCCCAGGAGGGAGAGTCCCGCACACCCACGGCGTGAGGGAGCCCCCACAGCAGAGGAACAGAAAGCATGCAGTGCCCCAGTTCTGTGATGGGGAGCCTGACTTTCAGAGGCAGGGCCGGGGCCCATGGCCATGAGTCAAGCTGACCGATCAGCAGGCCCCTGATGGTCAGGTTGAGTCAACAGCATGGGCTCATCACGGGGCAAGGATTCACTGGAGACACCCCGCCTGGCCCAGTGTGTGCTCGCCTGGGGCCCTCAGATTTTCCCTGGAAATTCCCCCTGGCCCTGCTGCCTTGCACTGAGACAGCGGCACATCTGACTCCCGGCCACCCGAGCCCTGGGGGACCCCAGGCCCTGGCCCCGGCCTCACTCACCTGCTTGGACGGCCCCAGCTCGGGTCCTCCCTAGAGCCAGGATTAGAGTCCCTCAGGAGCGCCCCCAGGCTTTGTCTCGCCTGGGACCCCCTCGTGAGCTGCTCCTGGAGCCTCTCACTGTGCCCCAGCCTTGCCTGCCTCAGAGACTAGCCTCTCTCACCCAAGAGCCCCTGAGGGCTAGGTCCAACCCAGGCTGCACAGGTGGGGACCAGGGCAGGGTTTCTGGGTGGGCGGAGGGCAGCAGGCTGCTGGAGGCACACCCTGTCTAGCAGAATGTGAGGAGGCAGGGCTGCCCCTGAGGGCCCAGGAGGCCCTCACCCCTGCAGTCTAGGTCTGGGGCTCGCCCCTCTGCCTCCATTGAGGCTTTGCTGTCTCGGCCCACCTCCTCAGGCCCAGAAGCTGGAGGGCAGGTGGGCTGCCAGGGGACCCTAGCCCCCTCAACAGTCCATTGCACAGATAGGGAAACTGAGGCACAGAGATGCGACTCCGGAATCCTGGCCATAAGTGGTTCCCTATGCGTGACCCTAGAGGGTAGAGGGTTTTCAGGTGGAGTCCTGGAAGCCTTCTCAGGAGAGGAGATGCCTGTGCAGAGGGATGGGCAAGCCTTGCAGGTGAAGTGGGCAGTGCTCCAGAAGCAGTGGATGGAGAGGGTAGAGCTCCAGCCTCTGGGCTGGCACGTGCCATTTCCAAAGATGCTCTAAGCAGAGTGAGCACTGGGCTCCATGCTCCACGGCCCCAGGGCTATTGGGGTCACATGCCAGCCTGGAGGTGCCTTGAGGAAGAGGGTCCCCAGAGAGAGGCTTGGCTCCTGATGTCCCCAGAAGGGAGCGGGCAACTGGGACTGACTGCCGGGCCTTGCGTCCTGTCTTCACTAGCCACGGGAGGGTGGGTGCTGTCACCAGTAGGCATGAGCTGAGTGCCTCCCACGTGCTCACCCCTGCCTGTTCAGGGCGCCGAGGCCTGCCCTGTGGAGCTCCCAGGAGCCACCCGGATCTGGGCACACAGTGCAGGGCAAGAGGTGGCTGTGGGGGCGGCAGTGGCCTGGACCCTGTGTGGTAGGTCTGGGTTGGTGGGGGAGTGGGCGAGTCTTTCTGTCCCGGGGCTATGTGCACCACCCACTTCTGGACGCTGGAACTGAGCCTCGAGAGAAGTCGCTTCCCGAGATGGCCAGCATGTTGGCGGCAGACAGGCTGGGAGCCAGGGTGTGGACCCCGGAGCCAGCGGGCCAGTCCCTGCCTGAGGTGGGTCTCTGGGCAAGGAGGGGTGCAGTGGGGCCAGCCTGCTGCCCTGCCCCAGCAGTGGCCTTGCCAGCCCACGGGCCCTCCCCACGAGGAGCCTCTGTGCCCAGGGGAGCCTTCGTGGCCCAGACCGGCAGCCAGGACGAGGGCGTTTCAAAGTCAGGCCGCCTCCGAAGCGGTGGCGTTGGCGGGAGGGAATAACTAGCTCCCACCAGGCTGAGAATAGCTCAGAATTGGGTCACGCTCACCGAGATCTCCGGTCACAGCCTCCAGCCTTTGACAATAATCAGCTTTCTCCCGACATCTGTCCCTTCAAAGAGGGGGCAGGCCGGTGCAGGCACTTCTAGAAGCAGCATAGTAGAGGGGATGGGAGTGGGGAAGGACACCCTGGCCTCCTGGCCCTCCATGGCAGGCCCCCTTCCTCCCTCCCGCCCACTTCAGGCTCCAGGTTCCATGCCAGGTCGGGGTGAAAAGCACGGTGGTGCCCCCTCACAGATAAGGACACCGGCGGGGGGCTGAGGGGAGGGTGGTGCCTGTGCCTGGCCCTCCCATGCTCGGCCAGCGATGCCCTTCAGCTCCTGAGAGTCGGGGGCCTGCATGCCACTGCCCCAAGCCACCCTCCTCTTGCCCCTACTGGTCTGTCCTGCCCTTCTAACGTGGCTGAACAGCATGGGTCAGACAGAGCAGGCCATCCTGCCCTGCCAGACTTTTGGGGTCGAGTGTTTCCCCCAGCCCAGGACTTCACCCCATGTCTTGTTTCCTATCCATTTTCCTGCGTCTGGCCCTCCTCATCCCAGAGCAGCCTTGAGAGGGCTAAGGTGGGTGGTGTCACAGGCCCTCAGCACCCGCATCTGTGCTGTCACCTGCATATGCTGCCACCAGGTGGGTGCCGAAGCCATTGTAATATGTAATAGGTGCCTCCTGCCCAGAGAGACGGATATGCCTGCCACAGGTCAGGCGCACTGATTTTCGTTCTTTTAATCTTTAAAACCCACAAGGCAGTTCACGTGTTCTAGGTGACACCATTGCTAAACTTCAGCCACAGGTCTGTTCATGAAGTGCCTGTGACGCTGAGCTTCTCAAGATGGGGCCCCTGGATAGGCTGCTCAGCGTCGTCCCCGCCCCACCCCTGCTGAGCCGGAACTCCAGGCAGGGCCCAGCCCCCTCCACCCCCAACCCCCACCCCGCCTCCCCATTCCCCAGCCCTCCAGGTAGCTGTGGTACTCAATTTTGAGAATCGCTGCTGGAAGACCCAGGAGTCTCACACACATTTCTTTTTATTTCTTAAACAAAAAACCCCTTTAGTAACTTAAGCGGCACTTCCTGCACGCGGCTGGTTGATCCTCTGAGGCTGTGCTGTCAGCTGCAGCTCAGTTTCATCCAGTGTGGCTGGACTGTGCTTCCAAGCCCCAGACCCTGTTGCTCCCTTCAGCTCCACTGCGAATGCCCTGGGGCTCCCAGAGAGAAACTGAGGCAGCAACAGCAGGTCGCCGTGCGCAGACCCCACTGGGTCCCAATTTGAATAAACCAAATGTCTTTTTCAAAATAGGACAGTTAGCCGGGCGCGGTGGCTGACACCTGTAATCCCAGTGCTTTGGGAGGCGGAGGCGGGCAGATCATGAGGTCAGGAGATCGAGACCATCCTGGCTAACACAGTGAAACCCCGTAAATACAAAAAACTAGCTGGGAGCGGTGGCACATGCCTGTAATCCCAGCTACTCAGGAGGCTGAGGCAGGAGAATCGCTTGAGCCCAGGAGGCGGAGGTTGCAGAGAGCCAAGGTCTGTTGCGCCACTGCCTGGGCGTCGGAGTAAGGCTCTGTCTCAACAACAACCAAAAAAATAAAGAAACAAGTAAAATAGGACATTTGGCAAGTTGGAAGCTTGAGTGGCTGTTTTGTGAGTTTAAGGAGTGGCCACGTTTGCAACATGCTGACATTGCTGGGAATGGCAGGGTGGCTGAGATCCAACTCTGAATAACGGGGTTGGGGCGGGGAGCAGACCTCAAGCCAGGCTGGCCATAGACTCCTGGGGGGAGCGGCCTACAAGATTCTTCACACAATTCTGCTGGTGCTTTGCTTTGACAATTTCCATAATAAGTTTTTCTTTAAAAAAAAAAAAAAAAAAAATGGCTGATCGTGGTGGCTCATGCCTGTAATCCCAGCACTATGAGACGATCACGAGCCCAGCCTGGGCAACACAGGGAGACCCTGTCTCTACAAATAATTAAAAAATTAAAAAAGGAAAGATGCCTCAGGCCAGACCCAGCCTGTCCCCCAGGGTGCTGGCCGAATGCAGTCAGGGCCCGGCCCCTGCCTGGAAACCCTGGGCCTGCAGAGCCAGGGGCCCTGCCGAGGAATGCGGTGCCAGCTGTGGGTGGGGGGCCGGCCATGGATGGGGTGGCAACAGTGGGGGCGACAGGCCTGTTGCTAAGCTACAGGCACAATGGACATTCCAGGTGCCAGGCAACAGGGAAGGAGACAGCTTCTTGGTGGGGGAGCCCTGAGGGGCCCAGGCCACACTTGTCCCTCAGCAATGCGGTGTGCACCCCCACCCTCAGGCCGTGGAGGCCTCCTGGCTGCCTGGCCCTCAGGGTGAAGGGTGGCCTCCCTCCTGGTGGGGCTTCGACGCTCCCTGATGCCAGCCCCCACCCAGCCGAGGACCTGGTCAGAGGTCGCCTGTGCTGCCTGCCTCTCCTGTCTCTGACCACCTTGCCTTGCTTGTGCCCCCAGGTGCAGGCATGGGGCCCTCATGGGGTTCAGGACAGGGCTTGGAGTTCTGGTGGAACCTCCATCCCTTGCCACCCCTCTCCCTGGCCCCAGACTCAGTAACCAGCCCCCAGCCCTGCCAGCCAGGCTCTGGCAGAGCCACACTGCAGGGCCCCTGGCCCCTGCTCCTGTCCAGTTGCCTCAGGAAGGTGTGTGCCACTCCCTTCAGGCTCCACAACCCCCCTCCACGGACGGCCTGCTAAGGAGCTCCGGGCCAGCTGGTGACGAGGAGAGAGGCTAGGAAGTTGCTGTGCCTGGCAGCCCTCCACACCTCACAGACAGTTCCTGAACTTCTGGGGACAGCGGCCAACCCTCGCCTTTCCCCCTCCCCCTCCCCCCCAATCATGCACGCCCTCCATCTCTCCATGCCACACTGGCTGGGCCTCAGCCCTGCCTCCTCCCCCAGCCCTGAGGATAGAGGTCAGACCCCAGCTGCTGTCTCCGGTGGCGCCAGGGTCCCAGCTCAACCACACATTCCGTGTGGGCCAAGAATGTGCAGTTCCTTTCTGTTCTGGGTGGGCCAGGTGTACAGTGGGAGCTCCATGAACACACAGGGGAGCCCGACAGACAAT